ATGAGGATCTCTATTCTAATTCCTTTTTCAGTCTACATCTTAGTTTTCTTTCTTGTCCACTCACTGTCTTAAGGGATTCTTTCCCATCCGGTCCCTTTATTTGGGACAACAAAGTTGATTTCAATTCCTCTATATTTATTGAAATTAATTTTCCACTAAAAATAAATTACTATAATATCATTAAATATTAATAAATTAACAAAATTACTGAAAATGTAAAAAATAAATAAATTTATATTTTACATATTCAATAAAAAATCTCTCTCCTTGGAAAAATAATTTCAATAAATATAAATCTATTTTTTTACATTTTTAGTAATTTTGATATTTATTATAATTTTGGTAATTTAATTACTAAAAAGTAGAGATTTTGGTAATTTAATTTAGTAAAAGTTAAATTATAAAACTTCCAATTATTCAAATAAATAATTGGAAATTTTTAATAATTTTCATAAATATTTGATACTACATTTATAATTACCATAATTATTGGAACTATATTTATGGGTTTGGGGGATGACCGGGTAGGAGTTGTAATGGGTGGGTTTGTAGTGGGGATCATACTCCCCGTCCCGACGCCAAGTTTAATTCCTATCTTTGACCTTGATTCCCATCAGGAAAAAATTTAGCTTTCATTCTCGATCCCAATTGGAGACGGGTTCCCCCTATCGGGGATATGAATCCCCACATTTTTTAATTAAAAATTTGTTTTCATAAAGGTATTTATTAAAATAAATAAAAATTAATATGCAAATAATATTTAAAATATATTTTGATATATATAAATAAAAAATATTATATATTTAATATCATATTTACAAATCTATCTATCTATCTATATAGAGTAATGCGGTCCACGTCACCATACCTCTCCTTGCTCCAAACCCCCATGATGCTCTCTCCTTAATTCTCTCTCCCTCCCCCTTCCCACCACTCCCAAACTACCAAGTCATCAATCTTTAAAATTTCTTGACTAAAAACATTGATAAAATCTCTCTTTTATATCCCCTCTCTCCTAAAATCTCACCACACTCCTAATGTCCTTAAAACTCTCATTTCCCCACCCTTATTCTCTCTCCCTTTCTAACCCAACTTTCTAATTATTTAAAAAACGACATTTCCTAATTCCTAAAACCTCCCCTCATTCTTTAAATATTGCTCATAACTAACTTTTTTTATACTCCTAAGTAATCCCCACTTCCCCACTTCTAACTAAGACACAACTCTCTCCATTTTTAGCATTAGTTACTAATATTTTCGACAATTTACTAATAGTTTACCAAATAACAAAATTCACTTAAAATCTATTATTTATATCAATGCTTTATTAAGGATTACCAACATATATTAAATTTTTAGTAATTAATATTAATGATATATTACCAAAATTAATTAATTATTTTATTAATATTAAAATTTAAAAACTATTTTCATGAATAATTAAATTAATTATTGTTATTACTATTTTAATATTGGGATTAATTAAAAACTCCCAAGGTTCAATTAAAATTAATTAATTATCAATAATAATTAATTATTTTATTAAGATTAAAATTTAAAATTTAATAATTATTTACATGAATAATTAAATTAATGGTTTTATCACTTTTTTAATAATTCATAATATAAGTTTTATTAATTAATAATATTACTGAATATTACTATTAACAACAGTAATATTTTTTTTATAAAATAATTATAAGATTTATTAATTCATAATTAAGAATTATTGACGATAATTATAAAGTTATTCATAAATTTTAGTTATTAATTATAAAATTTAAAAATCGTTTTTAACTATTTTTGTGAATAATTAAAAATACCATAAAAATATTATTGTTTTTAGTAATTAATATTATTTTTAATAACTATAAATTAAAATTAGTGCTATTAATTGCTAGCAGGGACCGTGAGATGTATGAGTTTTGTTAAAAGAATTTGAAGCAAATGGAGCTAGGGTTGTAGCTTGGATTGGGTGGGCCTAACCCGAGCCCAACCCAGCTCAACCAAAGCTTTTACACAAGTTGGGCTTGATTTTTCAAACTTTAAGCTGGGTTTAGGCCAGAAAACTTAAGGCTAACCTAAACTCAAGTTGGGCTTGGGTTGAGGCCAAAAAACTCAAAGTTTCATTCGCTACCTCTAAATGCATTCAAAGGCAACTCAAACGCTTAACAATTTGGAGATGTTTTCAGTGTTTGGAGGAGTGGTTCAGTGGTAACAACATTTTCAGCGTTTGGAGGCCTGTTCAGTACTACCGAACACCACCTTAGTCATTATGTGCCAAAAGACGTTAACCACATTTTATATATGGGTTACCTCTTACCCAATAAATCTAATATCACTTTTTGAATGTATGTCTTAGATGTTAACACAAGTGAAATCCAACCTTTGAAAATCAAAATTTTCAAATATCAAACCCCATTTTAGGATTATCAAAAACCACCTTAATGGGATTGAATTCAAATCCAAGTTCAAACCACTGGATATCATTTGCTGCCTTATTGTCAATAGAATTGTAAGCCTACAAATTTGGGAGGCCCACTTCTAACCTATCCCTAACCACCCTTTTGTTAAGTCTATTATAATCCGATCACAATTAATATATCACCTTTTTGTTAATTAGGGAGCTTTGTTACACAACCAACCCTATTTCTTAACTAATAAGCATGCATATGCTTTGCACATGGCAATTTTTCATGATGGTGATAATAGTAAATAATATGTTTTTAAAATTTTATACAATTTTTTTTATATTTCTATGGCTACAAGATTTGGTCTTATTTGTCACATTTACTTTTGTTTAATATGATGAATATACAATATTAGGGATGTGCCCGAATATACAATTTTACAAATATAGGGTGACCAAATTCAAAAACTGGGATATTTTAGTCGAATAAAAGTACCACACTCTTATTCATGCTTTTAATATTAGTATAGATATAGATATGGAGTGATAGTTAATTAAGATCATCTTGCTCATATTCAACCTCTATTAAGTCATCTTGGTATCAACATCATCATTAGGGCTGCAAGTTGAGCTGGGTTAGGTCAAGTTGAGGCCAACCCTAAGTTATAAACCCCCAACCCAACTTTCAATTTGAGCTACCCAAACCCTAACTAAATTCCTTCAACCATAATCCAACCCAGCCCAAAGTTAACTATGAGTTGGGCTGGGCCCAACCCAACCTTCTTTCCATCCCTTAAAATCACATAAAATTTCTCAATCTATGATCTTAACTCAACTTTCACTACGTATATTAATACTATGTTTTATTACTATTTGTTTGTTGGTGTTTTTATACAAAATTCCGAAAAAATAATTGTTTGAAATTAGTATAGTTTATTATGAGTATGACTTATGATAGATCTTTTATGGGTAGAGATATGGATGACAAACAACAAAGGGGAGATGAAGAATAAAATATTAAGAAAACATAAAATATGTTATTAAGGTTTTAGTCTTTCCGGTTAGGATATAGTGAAGTGGTTATCTTAAAACAAAGACCTGATGGTATGTGTTGGGGATTATACAACTATCATGCATATAAATAAATCAATGATCTATCATATATATAACATATATTTATATCTGACATGTATCATAAAGTCGGGTTGGGTTGCCCAAGGGGTCATCCCTAACCCAACTTGAAGTAATGTCGGCTTTATGAATTTCAGCCCTTACCCTAACTCGAGCATGAACCCAACCCATGGGTTCGGGCCAATCCAACCTGAGTTGCAACCATGGTTTTAAAAGTCTATTGAGGCGAGGCTGACCAAAAATGCCTGGCCTCAATAACCTTTCTCTTCATTTCCAAGACTTAGGCCTTGAGTTGTTAGAGGCCTACACCTTTAAGCCTTTAGCCTTGTGATGTGCAAGGCCTAAGGCTTAAATAAGGACATTTTTTTGGGAATATTGTTAATGGGAGTTACTATTATATATATATATATATATATATATATATAAATGATAAAATTTTCAAGGGTATAATAATATACCCAACTTCAGTTTATGTCAATAGGAGTCCACAACCTCAATAAGAACTTATTCACTAGAAGACAAAGCAATAAGCCTTTTTAATTTAGCATATTCAGCTTAAGTTACCTCATCTAAATAACTTCTTTATAGACTATATAGCTAAAATTAAAATTCTAAAACAAACCAATGGAACTACAAAGCAATTTTTTTCTATCAATAATGGAACTACAAAGAATAGACCAACCTTGATGCTTTTAGACCACAATGAGAAAGAAAACCCCAAGGAAAAAAGTATTAGAGAAAATATAAAATGCAAAGAAATAATAAGTTTGACACTTGGGATATATGATTATTTTTTAATAAAAAAAATTGTTGGCTTGGTCCCTGAATCAGGCCAAATTCAGGTTGAGTTGGGTGATGTAAATCTTGAAAAAATAACTTATCTTTCTCCTTCATTTGTTTTTTCTAATAAATATAAATACATAGTTTTTATTTATTTATTTATTTTTGTTTGAGGTTTATGCCTTAAAACGCCTTGAGGCTTAGGCGTTAACCCCTTCACACCCAACTGCCTCGCCTCTGCCTTTAGCCTTTTAAAACCTTGGTTGCAACCTTAATTAAGATCACTATATATTCATTAATATAAAACTTATCTATGAAATAGCAAATTTGGATTTATGGTTGTTTAGTATCATTGCCATTTTAAGCTCAAACTTTTAAAGAGGTATCGACATTTCACATTAAAACATCAACATAGGAATTTAGGTTTAGAGATGGAATTTGTTTGGTTGATATTATAAATGCTTTTTGATGATTGGTTCATTACTTTACATAGATTAACATGTAGATGTTGATGTAATGGTTTTAGAAGCATTGTTTTAGTCGAACTAAGCCAAAACAATTAAAAATTGCACTTCTGCCTAACCCGGCGTAAAAACTTTGGATTGGGTTGGGTTAGCATTGGGGGTTAGACAACTTAAGAACACGATTTATTATCATATTGAATTCCATTTTCAAGCAAACTATTATTATTTATTATTTGCTTTACAGACAATCAATGACATCTTTAATGACAAAATAATAAATGGAAAATGAAGTATTACATCCATAAAATTCCTAAATAGGTTTAAAACTATCCCATCTCTGGACCAAAGCTTTTGAATGCACAAGATGCATTCCCCAACTTCTTTGCTTCAGTTCTGTGATCTACTTATCTTCACGATCAATATCTGCACCCTCCATAACCTGGAAAATGGAATAAGGAACTAATTAAGTAAATGCAACCATACAAGGAAGGATATTGTCCAACCCTAACCCGATTCTCAATATTCCTCACCAGACCGCCACCCAAACCTACTTTTTGGGTTAGATACTTAGATTGGGCCGAACCAGACCAGATTGAAACCCTAACCACACCGTCGTGGCCAAGGCCCAAGGGGAGCTCTCATTCTCTTCCCACAAGTTCTATTTTCAGACTGATCAATGGTTATCTCGCAGGCAGGTTTAATTAGTTAAGAACAAAAATTAATAAAATCATGCAATAAATAAAATAGGTAGCGGTATGAATCTAGAATTCGTGCTTACTTGGATCAACTGTAGAGATTGCCCCGGTTTGGGCAAAATCGCAATCATAAGCATTACGCCCCGTTGCCTGGTAGTAGGCATTCATGACATAAGCAGCATGGGCCTGAACAGTGTTGGGCAAGAAGCAGGCACCTCCATCTTGTATAGGTCGGCAATCAAAGCCCAGCCCACATACGTAGTCAATGTTATTTTGGAGAGCCTTTGGGTCGGCATCTGATTTTGGAAGGCACCATCGTTTTTGCTTTGGTGTCACTACTGGGCTCGGATTCAAAGGCAAGGATGCACTTCTCTGCCGAAGCCAAAATTTATTATTTATCAAATCAATAAGATATCTAAATGAAAGGGGGTGCTGGCCTACTGGGCCTATGGGCGATGGGGGAAGGAAGAAGGAAGAAGGAAGAAGGAAAGAATAATGTATTTAATGGACTGTAACTACTTGAACAAAATTTAGACTTTTATGGGCTAAAATTTAGCAAGTCTTCCCGGCCCAATCCTCCATTGGGATTGGGTTTTCCTCTGTCATCGGGTACGGGAACCCGATTATTACATAGATGAAGAATGAAGATGAAGGGAGATGGTAGAGCTACAGCTACCGTCCAATATCATTTCGATCTGCGAGACTGTGTAATGTAACTAAAACCCACCAAACAAACAAATGAAACAAAGGGTTGCCCAAGAGAATTACTATCGCCAGCGCACGATCGGGGTTGGGCCGTATTGATGCACATGCATTAGAATGACTTGCGCTTACCGTGGGTCGTTGGATACCGATGTCATATACTGGAGTCATGTCGGGTTGGAAGAGCCCGAAGTTCCTCTCGTATGTTGGTCCGGGCTTTAAATTTTCATTGAAGAGAGCAAAGATGTATGTCTCAAAGGTTCGATTGGGCATGAGAGGAGTGCCTACACCGTATGTGACATGTTTTATGAGATTCCCGTTGTACTCTGCGGCATTTTCCGAATCCACACCAAGCTGCCCAGGATCTGCGAGCGATGGCCACCCAGTCTCGGCTATAACTATATCAACGTCTTCAAAGCCAAGGAGCTTCATTGCAGAGAAAGTAGCGTCCAATTGTCCATCTAACATGTTCGTGTAAACAAGTCGGGTGTTGTCGTCCAACACCCCGGAATTTGGACGGAACAGAGCGTAGTCCAGTGTGCCTTCGGAGCAACCAAAGAAGGGATATGGGTTTATCATGAAAGGGGAATTGGTGGCCTTTAGGAAGCTAAGCAATGGCTTTAGTACAACGGTGTCATAGCCTCGCCGGAACTTTCCAGTTGATGGTGGGCTAGAAGTTGAGAGGATGCCTAGGGAGTGTGGTGTTGAGACCTGAATCCGGCGATCAAGAGAGACTCCGACAAGGGCAGTGTGGAGGTTCTGCATTGCCGGCACAAGGCTTGCGATCAACAACTTGTTGGCGGTTGATAGAACTTCGTTTCCAACTAAGATTCGGATTATGTTGGTAGAGGGTGTATAGGGGAGAACATTGGATTTCACCCAATGTTGAGCAAAGGAAAGCTTGGTGAGGTCAGGTATTTGCTGGTTGGGCACGGTGATGGTGACGGCAATGCCAGTGTGGGCGAAGGCTTGCAAAATTGCAGGGTTGGCATCAAATAGCCTCACACGATTGATTGTTGTTTCTTCTAAGAGGAAATGTGCAACTTCAGCTGGTGGAGGGAGGTTATTTGCGATGGTGCCATAGTTGACACCAATGGTTCCTTGTACGCCTGTCACACCAGCAATAACATTAATATATATATAATTTAGTCACCTACACTAATCAAACAAATTACATAGAGTTATGTAATTGTACTGTACATTCTTCACCCTCTCTCTCTCTGTGAGGAATTATAGTATGGACGCTTACCTCCAACGAGAGTGGCTGCAATTAGAAGCAATAAACCACTGACGGCTGAATTAGCTGCATGACGAATGGTTCTCTCCATGACTATGGTGGGTAGGTGAAGTGGATGAGTTGCTGGTAGCCATTGCTGAAGTAGGGGAGCTTCAGGGAGATAGAGATGCTTTTCTTTCGGAGTAGGGAGTTGTAGGTGCGGTGGTTATTAACTTTTTATATTGTTGGAGAAAACTTCACTGCCCTTGTTCCCTTTATGACTCAGACACCTTTAGCTTTTCTTTTCCCTTTGAATCATTTCTTTTCTGCTTACTGCTAGAATGGATTCAGCTAGTACTTGGTGATTTTGCTTTAGTGCCGGCCGGGAATAATCTTTTCTTACTCAAGTGAAGAAGAGCCTGGTAGGGGTAAGAAACTTTTTTTCTACTGAACCCAACAGGAAATTCAGTGATTCAGTCCGTGCAAAACCCGTTTGAACACCGTTGCACAGTCTTTACAGCCTCTACTTATGTGTTTTATTTCATGGGAGAGATATTATTCGAATGGGACTTGTACTGACTGAATCCGGTTTTGATTTTTGGGAAATCGGTTTTAGTGAGAGCAAGACCCGTTCGAATAGGGGTGTAAACGGATTGAATTTGAATCGAATCAGGTAATATCCAAATTCGAATTTGATTAGAAAATCTGATATCCGAATTCGATTCAATATCTGACGGATATTGAAAATTAATATCCGTATTTGAATTCGATTAAATATTTGAATATTCCATTCCATTCCATTCGAATTCGATTAATTAATTATTTTAGATAATTAATAAATATATAAAATAAATATTTTATTGATATAACGTATATAAATATGTAAATTATTTATATAACTTAATTATTATATATATTATATAAAATATTTTATATATTATATATAAGAATTAAAGAATCGGTAGAATTTGAATATTTATCGAATCGAATCAGGTCATATCCGAATTTGAATCCGATTAACTATTCGATAGGAATAGGATACCCGAATTCGACTGATTAAATATTTGAATTATCCAAATTTGATTCAATTATGTTGAATATCGAATTCGAATACCATTGACACTCCTACATTCGAACACCGTTCACCGATATACTCATGGGATACATGGATGTCTGTCTGCGTGAAACGACATTTTTGATTAATCTTCTTGGAATTTGGACCCAAACTTCGCAACCCTACAAAACATACCAATCAAGGGCAACGCTCATGATCCACTCGAAAGAGAGGAAAGTAGAAAATTGGAACTTTTTTTCTTGTCTAATATGTATAACATATTAATGATGTAAACTGAAATACATAGTAACCAAATGAGTCTAGTAAAGTTCCGTAAAGAACAGTTCGAACCTCAAGTTTTGTTATTCTAATTCATGTATTTTTTTTTAGATTTACGTGGAATTTATGGAAATTTTATTTTTCAAGTAATGTCCATCTCCTAGGAGGTGAGTAAGTAATTTTTCCAATTGGAGTGAAAATTGTCAAACAGTTGCATGGAGTAAAAATGTCTTTTTTAATAATAATTTTTTATGACTAAAATGATCATTATCTGATTTATCTGGGAAATAAAAGAATATGAGTAAATATACATTTATCTATCAGAAAATAAAATAACCAGGTTGGCTATTAAAGTGAAACAACACTTGGCACCTAAAAACTGAGTTGAAAATTGAAAAAGATAGGGAAAAAAGAAATTTTGTACATTATGTTAATTTATGAAAGGAGCAAAGGATAGAAAGGAGAGATTACGAATCACCAATCTCCTCCTCTACAACAAACAAGAAAGAATAAGGAAACACAGAAGATTCAATACACAAGGAAATTAAAACATGCCAGAAACAAAGCAAGATAGGAAATAAACAGACTATAAAACCAAGGTAAAAAAAATCTAAAATAGAAGAGCAAGTACACCTCGACAAATTCAAAGGGGAAATCCCAAGACAATCTTCTTTCAACTAACTATAAAGTAGAAAAAGCATTAATTTCTTCTCTTTATGGAAACAATCCTCTCTTTTTTGGCAAAAACCATGTAAATATAGACAAAATTAAAAAAAAAAAGACCAAACAGAAAAAAAAAAACAAAAAATGATTATTAAAAAAAAAAAGAAGGCCAATCTATGCAATTCGAACTCGAGATACAAACCAGAAAACCAGTAAAAAATAAAAGTTACCCATTAATTTTCTTCTGAAGTGAGAAATATGAGAGAAAAAGAAGAAAAGCCATTCTAATTCTAGAATTAAAAACGACAGCAACTACCCATGTGGGTGCCTGATCGAGCTTCCTATGCTGAGAGTTCCCAAGTAGGCGAGTTTCACAACTAATCTCTGTGACAGTTCTTCCCTGTATTAATGGGGTTTGGTATAATAGTATAATACCAAGCATTAACTGAAGATTCAGAATCCAGAGACAGAGGGGAGAGAGAGGATTAAGAGTTAGGTTAAGAAGAAGACGATCGACCGAAGAATAGAGAGGACGGTACTGGAAACTGCAACGTGAGGTGAGAGCACGGTACTGGAAGTTGTGAAGACCGGAGAAAAAGCAATCATTTCACTCAGACACGTATCTTTCGTGCAATAAATTATTGGGAATTTGGGATTGCTCTCTCTTTAACACGAGAAGGTAGCCATGGACGAGAGTCGGAGAAGATGACTCACAAGGAAGTGCGGAGGAGGTAATGTCTTAAATAAGGAACATGGAGAATGGACAACTCACAAGGAAGTGCGAAGGAGGTAGCCATGGACGAGAGCCGGAGAAGACAACACAGAAGGAAGAGATTTCACGTGACGAAAAACTTCACGTGCGGATACCTCATCCAGTCATCCTACTGGAAGAGATTTTCGCATGCGAAAAAAAAAATTCACGTGTGGATACCTTCTCCTACGGGAAGGAAAGGCCACGTCTTCTTAACGAAGACTCTTCCCGCCTTATTTTATATTATAGATTTCCAAACAAAGCATCATACCTTATGAATTGAAGAAAATTGGAAAGAATGCCATGTATTGCTTTCCAATGTGTTGTTTAGGTAGCTTGACGAGATACACTAGCATCCCAGCTAAAGCTAGAACAGCCATGAATACTATCCACCACCTTATGCCCCCTACCTCTTTTACTTTAGCATACCAGCTATCTTCTAATTTACCAAGTGGTCATTTTTCTCTCCCCTTGGTTCTTAAAGAAAATTTATCATAACTTTTCTAATTTTCTAGCCTCCCAAAGAGGGATCCTAAACACAGAGAGAAAACAAACTATTATGTTGGTAAGTGTGGCTTTAATTAAAGTTACCCTTCCCCTTAGAGTAATATAATTCTTTTTCCTGGTCATTAGCCAAGAGGAGATAGAGCATTCCGAGCACGTTGCAATAGAGTCAATGTTACCAGCAGCCAAACTAACCCCCACCACATAACTTTTTTCAAAGTTAATCTTTAAGTTAGAAACACCATAAAAAATTATTATAACCTTGAGATTCCTTACTTTCCTTAAATCATTTCCTTCACAAAAAATGATAATGTCATCTGCAAACTAAAGATGAATTACAAAGATACTATTCCTACCAATCTTTCACTCATTTATTACTTCCTCCCTATCTGCCTTTGTAATCAATCTACTAAGCACATCCGCTACCAAAGTAAATAGGAAGGGAGAAAGAGGATCGCCCTGTCTTAAACCCTTAACACTTGGAAAGAAATCCTTTACCACTCCATTCACTAACACAGAATAATGAACCAAAGTGAGACAACCAAAGATCCAAAGGCACCATCTTTCCCCAAAACCATAAGCTTTAAGTATCTCTAAGAGGAATCTCCAATTCACCAAATCATTACTTCCTCTCAAGGTCCAATTTGCAAGCAAAACCTTGACTCCAAAATTTCTTCATATTCTCCACACACTCATTGGCTATTAAAATTCCTTGAACACTGCAAACAAATCCTCCTTAATTATTTCCCAATAATCATGATAAAAGGCCATAGTAAAGCCATCTAGACCTAGAGACTTTGATCTACCCATCGAGAAAACCGCTTGTCTAATTTCCTCTTTCTTCAAAATTTCTATCCAGCCAATTCAAAAATTCCTACCCAGTCTAAACTTTCTATCCTCCCTCTAGAATTTAAAGGTATTCTCAAGACTAATTTAAAGTGGTCCACAAAAAGTCTGGCCATCTCTTCTTGAGAGGAGATCACTTCTTTGCCAATTTCCAAAAGGACAAACATACCTGGGCCGATGTTAGCTAATGAGGAGGAATCAGGAACTAAAATTCTAGTGTTAGAAGTTTGGACAAGAACCGTTTCCTCTATTTGAATAGGCTGTGGAGTCCTACCATGTTCAACCAATACTCCATTAATCTTACTATTAGAAACAACCTCTGAATGTTTATCCATGTCCGAAGTCTTTGTACAAAACGGCAAAATAGAGTTCTACCCCTCAAAACCGATAGCCAGAACTGGCTGAGCCATAGGAGAGGACTTGTTTGTAGGAAGAGAAGGATCCTGTGAAACTTCCGAAACATTTGTAGGCTTTTCCACTACCTTGTCAGCCGCACCAGCTAAAGGAAATGAGAAACTGTCCGCCTGAGTGCAAATCACGTCATTTAAACCCAGTTGAGGTTTGCTCACATGCAGCTGCTTTTTGCCCCATTCACCATCATTAGAATTAGTCGTTTCTTCTTCTAGGAAAAAACGTTTAGTGTGCAAGATACTCTCTTCGAAAAGATCCTTAGAACATTGCAACTATACATTTCCAATTCTTGTTATGTCATCTGATTCAGACTCCGATTTAGACTCCTCCTCTGTCGACAACTCCTAGTCCATAATCTCCAGTCCCCTACGCCGGAAACACCTAGGATTTCAACGCTCTGATGAAATACGAGCAACTTCTCCATGGGAACCCCACTGCAACGAGCTGTTATTAGATACAGAAGCCTTCGATCGGTTGTTAGGCTTTGAGAGGAACAAAGCTAGATCTTTACCATGGTCTAGTAGAATTTCAGCCTAGCCATGTAGTATTTTAAGAGGGCACGAGCTTCTTTTGAAGGTTGTAACGGGCCAGTAAAGCTTGGCCCACCTTTAGAAGGTTGTGATGGGCTAGCCTTATTTGGCCCACCTTCTATAACCTTTTATACCCATAGGCAATTGACTAGTATTACTCGGCCCACCCTTTAGTTGATTAAGACCCGTAGCCGAATCATTGGCCCACATATTTATGGGCCCATCAGATCTGGTTCACCAAAACAGTCGATGGTCCAACAAGCAGACCAGATTCTTTTCCTTTTGTGGGTCTGCTCGTTTAGCGCCTGAAACAACTGATTGGGCAAATGAGACACCCTTCTACAGACCTGAAACTTGTTCTTCATGTCTTTGACCACCTGATTTGCCCACACCTTTCTGAGAGCACCAAACCCTGCTTTATTTTAGTGAAATTACCAGTCTTCTTTTGACACTCCAACCCTGGGCTGCCACCTAATTCCTTTAATTCTACTGGCTCATCTTCCTTCTGGCAAGCTTCCTTCCACAGCTCAGCTTCTATGGAGTAAGCCAGCCACACTAGAATGAATAAACCATCCACCCTAATCAGCACCTTTCTAGGTATGTCCATAGGTGAAATGGCAGGCCAATCAAACGAACTGTTACTTCATCTTCAATGGAAAAATATTTTGAGTTGGAAGTAGGTGTCCATTTGAACAGAGTAAAAGGACCCCAAAAAGTCTTGTATATGTGTGGCTGTTATTTCCACCTTGTTATTACAGAGATCAACCACAACCTTGCAGTTCTCAAAAGGGGTTAGTACAAAAAGTTCCTTCAGATTTAACTTACATATCAATAAATCTGCTACTTTCTTCCAATCTGTAACTGGGTTCTCTGCAATCAGCACCAACTTACTGGCCCACCGTTCTTTTGGGACACTCATAATCACCGTTGGACTTCTTAAACAATGTGCCATAGCCACCATCTCCTGTTCCACCTTGTCGCAACTAAGCTCATCCTTTGCAAACTCCTAATCTTTATGGGGCTTCTCAGTTTTACTAAAAGCATCCTCAGGCTTTATCTCTTTGTCAACCAAGAAGTCCTGGAGGACTGCAGCAACATCATGCCAACCTTTGCTGCCTCTACCTTTTGGAAAGCACAGTTGTCGCTTTCTCTTTCCTGCAAAAAATTCTCACAGGGCTACGAAGGAGCCTTTTGCATTCCTTCTACATTCTATCGTGTACCATCTAGTCATCTACCTGTCTCTGTAACCTTCTCATTCCAGTTAATCTGCTTGCCTTTTGTCGCTGCTTCAGAAATAAAGTTTTTAACCCATTCTACTGTGTTTGAACCTTCCAGCAGTACTGTTGCCAGTTTCATCTCCCTTACCTTCAAGCCTGGTTTGGTTGACCCTGACTCACCCATACCTCTCCCCTCTTCTATTGGGATACCATCATATCCAAACACCTTTTCTTTCATCTTGTTTAATGCCTCATTCACTTTGGTAATTCTAATTTTATGAAGGTATATGTTATTTTTAGTACTATTATAGTTACACCAATACCTCCTTCATTAGCAGTTAAACACCCTCTACATGTTCTCATTGAGTAAATTTCCAAAATAGTTTTTTCATCTTTCCTTAGTTTCCTCATTTTTATCAAGACAAGACTCTTTGGTCTACCTCTTTGATTCCTCTAACATGACTTAAATCTCTACCAGTTCTAGTTTTATTATTATTTTTTTTTCTCTCATCTTTGCTAGTTTATAAATTCCATTTTCTCCCTCTTTAATGCCCAATTTATGATACAGTTCATATCCCTTAAGTTAAGCTTCATTCACTTTCTCTTTTTGACTTCTTTCTTAAGTTTATTATAGTTTTCCAAGTTTTCTACATTTTCTCAGCTTTCACTAAAACCTTTTGGTACTTCACCTTTGATGCCTCATGCCTCTAACATAACCTAAGATGGTGTTTGAGAATGACGGAACTAGGATATCATTTCATGCTAAAAAAATTCCAAATTTTAAAATTAAAGTTCTGAGCACTCAAATACCATCCTTATTGCTACATGCTGAGAACATAATGTTGGGGTGACAACTTTACTCCAGGGTGTTTATTATATGCCAATGATAACCATGGATATAAGGGGTGTTTTAAATTGGAAAATTTTCAAGAATTCAGCCCCTAGCTTAACCACTAGCAAGCACTACTTGAGTCTACACATTGTTTTCTCTCCCATTCATACCCAACTTACATTTTTATGGTGAGATAAAATTTTAGTAAAAGAAAAAAATGCAACAGTACGAAAGGTAACTTGAAGAGATATACTAAAAATGGGAAAATTACATCAAACCCAAATAACTAAAACAAAACTAACCATCACCTTTAACAATGCCCAGTTTTGACCATAGACCAAACAAGAGTGCAAATTCATGATGCACCAACAATCATTCCACATTTCCACCATCAGTGAACAAATGGCAGCCATAACATTTCTTGTTGGAATAATATTTTCCTTGTTGCTCAACTAAGTCCTTTTTTTTAAGGCTAACAGCTGAAGAGCAAAACACTCCTCAATTTTCTTGCAAAAAGATTTGGGTTTCCCACATTCCCCATAGATTCCTTTTTGTGTGGAAAGCATGCTATTTTAAAAACTATATTTTTATTGCAAAACAAAAAAGAAAGTACATGGTGAAGCGTACAGCAGAAATAGAGAACAAAGGAACTCCGTCATAAATTACACAGGCAGATGTTGTCACTATAAAAATAGTTTAAATGAGCACCAGATTTCGCAAGGCTATCTACTATTACATTCAATTTCCTAGGAATCCATCAATCCACAACAGATTTGCAATCATTAGAGCAAAGAAGTCACTTTTCTCAGTAAGATAATGAGTCAAGCTTCATGGCACACCATCCTTCTCTCTTAGCCACTTGATTGTATTTGCAAAATCACCTTCAATGGACTGAGGGGCCCAAGTCTGATTATGTGAATTCCAATGACAAATGCCAACACCTCAGCAGCATCTATGAAGCCAACTATCCGAATCGGTCCACTAAATGCCCAGCAAATATTGCCCTCCCTAACCCCCATTATTCCTATTCCAGTTTCATACACATTACCTGTAGCACTTCCATCAAAGTTTAATTTCAGCACCCACTCCAATCAAAAAGATGTGCTAGGGGCAAATATTACTAAAAGGGCAAGTAGAACATTATACACACTTCTATATAGTTCATTCAAAGAAATTCCTTTGAAAGTCTCATAATTAATAGCCCACAAATTACATTGGTGAAAAATATGGCAAGTTAAGTTTATGAAAGATTTACCCTTATTATCAAATATGTCGCTATTGCTTTCCTCCCATTCCCCCCACATCGCCGCATGAGCAATTATTGTTTTCCAATAGACTTTACCTCTCCCTTGCCATTGTGAGAGAAAGTCATTAATATGTTCAAGGGAAACCCAACCACAACCAATCAAGTTTAAGGAGTAGATGCCCAGATGATTCCTCATCCTGGAGACACAAAATGCAAGCGTAAAGAGAATAAACACTTGTGATTTTATCCTAAAGAAGAACAAAAGCGAGTTGTTTCTTTCTCCATTGACTTGCAATTTATGTCTTAGTGATGGGGAATCTACGGTTCACCTCCTTATCCAATGTTAGGAAATTAGGAAAAGTTTGCACCATTTTCTCAACCTAATTGGGTATAGTTGGGTTATTCTTGAGCTGATTGTAAACTTCTTGTGACAATAACAAGGCAAAGGACTTAGCAAAAGAGGTCACTTTTTTTTATATGATGAGTATGGGAAGAAAGAAATACTGGGTATTTGAAAATGTGGCCAAAACTTAGCACGATCCAGTCTTTTGAGGGTATCTCAGTTAATGAGTTGCACGGAAATGTGGTGAACTTGGTATTCTCCTCTCCTATCCCTTAGCTCTCCCTTGGGTTAGCTGAAATTGAAGGATTAAGCATCTATTGTGATTTTAATGGACCAATTGAGATTGACAACTTTGTAAAGACTAAAATACTACCAGCTCTCACTGGTAAACGTATTGTTAGATATTTGGGCTTGGGCTAGCCAAATCTATCTCTCATCTGGAGATACTTTATAGTGATAGATCTCTTCCTATGTAGCTTTGTGGTTGTTTATTTATGTTTCCCTATTGTACATCATCTCATGTACTTTTGTACACACACACACATACATATAGGAAGAACTAAGTAATTGCATACAAGATTGCTTCAACTTAGCTTAGGACAAAAGGCCAAATGAGTTTAAAGCTTGATTATACTATTTTTGAGCTTGGGCTTGGGTTTGAAATCCTGAATCAACTACCTGAATTGTACCCTTGAGTAGTCGCTCAAGATTGAACAAACACTTAAAAGGAGAAAAAATAAATAAGAAAAGAAGAGGGAGAAAAGAGAAAGAGAGAGAGAGAGAGAGAGCTCGGGAGAGATTTTGATAAAAGAGAGTTGGGTTGTTGTTTGAAACAACCGCCCCCCTCTTAAATTTATATACATAGTATCATACTTGTAAAAGGACTGAATTGCTTACATGGTAAGATAAGATAAGATAAGATAAAGTTGAAAAAAGACTAATCCTAATCTTATAAAAGAACTAATCATCCTAATCATAACTTATTGCTGACATACGAACAATGGGGACCACCTTAGTGGGGTCCACATTAGTGTGGTTCTCTACACTCCCCCTCAAATCGGGAATAGATGTTTGCCATTGCCAACTTGCATAGATCTGCCTCTAACTTCTTCCTTGAAACCACCTTGGTGAGAAGGTCTGTCAGCTGCATGCCGGAGGTGATGTATGGAAGATATACTTCTTGAGATGTAACCCTTTCTCTGATAAAATGTCAATCCACTTTAATATGCTTAGTTTTGTTGTGTTGTACCGGATTATGGGCTATATTGATGGTAGTTTGATTATCACAGTAGAACATCAATGATTTCTCATAAACAATACCTAACTCCTCAAATAGAATCTCAGCTACACCATTTTCCATGGACCTATATTCAACTTCACCACTGGACGAGAAATAACATTTTATTTCTTATTCCTCCAAGAGACAATGTTACCTCCTACAAAAGCACAATATCCAGAGGTAGATCTTTGATCATCAACACACCTAGCCCAATCAACATTTGTGTAAACTTCTATCTTCATGTAATCATTATTCTTGAATAAAATGCCTCGGCCTGAGCACGTCTTCAAATATGCTAGTATCCTCTCAACTGCAAGGAGGTGAGGAGTCCTAGGAGAGTGCATATACTGACTAACCACATTGACTGCATAACTGATGTCGGGTCGAGTGAGACAAAGATAGATAATTTTTCCAACTAACCATTGGAACATAGCTTTATATTCAAGGGGCTTTCCACCCTCTACACTGATCTTGTGATTTTGTTCAAAAAGTGTGTTAGTAGGCTTAACACCTAACTTTCCTGTTTCTTCCAATAGGTCAAGAACATACTTTCTTTGAGAAACAAAAATCCCATGCTTGGATCTGGCTACCTCAATGCCCAAGAAGTATCGTAGTTCTCCCATATTTTTTACCTCAAACTCTTAATGAAGGAGTTGCTTAAGGGACTCAATCTCAGTATTATCATTTCCTGTTACTACAATATCATTCACATATATGACAAGCAATGTTAAGAAAGAATCCACTCTCTTAATAAACAAAGTGTAGTATGACTGGGCCTGTACATATCCGAACTTTTCAAGGGCTTGTCTAAATCTATCAAATCAAGCTCTGGGGAACTGTTTTAGTCCATACAAGGCTTTGTTCAACCGACAAACCTTCTTTCCTGTCTCTATACCATAAAATCTAGGAGGCAACTGCATGTAAACTTCTTCTTGTAAGTCTCTATTGAGGAAGGCATTTTTAACATCAATCTGATACAACGACCAAGAGTAACTAGTTGCAAGAGATAATAAGACTCTGACAGTGGTCATCTTTGCTACTGGTGCAAAAGTTTCCAAGTAGTCAATGCCATATGTCTGAGTAAATCCTTTTGCAACTAACCGGGCCTTATACCTTTCAATAGAACCATCAGCATTATGTTTCATAGTGAATACCCATCTACATCCAACCAGTTTATTACCTTTAGGCTGATCAACTATTTCCCAAGTATTATTTCTGATGAGGGCATCCAATTCTGCTTTTATTGCATCTTTCCATTCTGGTAATTCCAATGCTTCCTGTATTGTTATGGGAATGGGAACATCGGCAATGGATGCGAGAAAAGACTTATAGAAGGGAGACAAATGATCGTAGGATAAGAACTGAGAAATGTTGTGAGCTGTGGATGTGGTGCAACGATGCTTGCCCTTACGAACTGCTATGGGAAGATCAAGATCATCTAATGAAGGTGAAGGCTCCATGATGGGATGTCTCTCATCTATAGTATCTTTGGTACCTGGATCTGGCTCTACAGAAAGAACCGGGGCTACTGTGGTACCGGGATCTGAATCTTTAGAGGAGATTGGGATTGGCTTGCACTGTTGATGTCCAAAATCAACCTATCTCCATCGTCTGTGATAGACTCTCACATCCCTGCATCTCTGACAGCCCTCCCCATTACACCCCTCTTCACTTAAATGGGGCAAGTAAAGGAACTTCTGATGAGTTAATCCCTACCTTACTACTCTCCCCCTGAGGAGAAACCCTTGGATAATAGGGTACATATTCGAAGAAAGTGACATTCATTGAGACAAATGTTTTCCCAGAACTAGGTTCATAGCAACAATATCCCTTTTGAGTTTATGCATAACTAAGGAAAATACATTTTGAGGCCTTAGGATCAAACTTGGAACGATGAGGGCCAAGAATTTGAACATAGCATATACAACCAAAGGTTTTAAGGGGAATGGTAAATAACTCTTTATCAGGATATAAGAGGGTAAATGGAGGTTGCATGCCAAGAACCCGTGAAGGAATCCTATTGATGAGATACACTATTGTAAGAATAACATCCCCCCAGAAACGTATAGGTACACTGGAGGTAAACATAATGCTACTGACTACCTCCAATATGTGTCGATTCTTTCTTTCAGCAACTCCATTTTGGCATGATGTATGATGATAGGTACTCTGATGGATAATCCCATGCTCAAGCAAATAGGAGGCTAATGGGTTTGCAAAATATTCTATCGCATTATCAGATCTAAAAATTTTGATTTTGACCCAAAATTAGGTTAAAATCATTTGATGAAAGATCCGAGTTAATGTCAGAACCTCATCTCGAGAATGCATAAGATAAATCCACGAAAAACGAGTATAGTCATCAAAAAACAGTAGGAAATATTCTATCGCATTATCAGATCTAAAAATTTTGATTTTGACCCAAAATTAGGTTAAAATCATTTGATGAAAGATCCGAGTTAATGTCAGAACCTCATCTCGAGAATGCATAAGATAAATCCACGAAAAACGAGTATAGTCATCAAAAAACAGTAGGAAATATCTGTACCCCCATGGCAGTGGTATGGTAAGGTCCCCAAACATCAGTATGCATAATTTCAAAGGAAATATTATTTCTATTATTGCTTAATGAATAGGTTGTCCTGTAGTGTTTTGTAAGTTCACAACTTTCACATTTCAGATTAGACATCTGGATAGATTCAAATAAACAAGGAAACAAACTCTTCAAAGTCCAAAAAGATAAATGACCCATCCTATTATGCTAAAGCATAGCCTGATCAACAGACCGAGAAACACAAGACCTCTTAGTCTCACTATCTTTCCAATGATGACTCCCTCTAAGCAGATGGACTCCATTTGCCTTACGGCTAGTCCCAATCACCTTCCTTGTCTCCAGATCCTGAAAAACACATCGATCCGAAAAAAGGTTACTGAACAATTTTGGTTTTTTGTAATACTACTAACTGAAAGTAAGTTAGTACTAAGCATAGGAACATGCAAAACCGAAGATAAGAAAATAACATTTGACAACTTATTGTCTCCCTTGCTAGAAATAGAAACGAAGGAGCCATCAACAATGGACACTTTGTCTCTACCTGAAGATAAGTGGTAAGTAGTAAATAGTGACAACAAGCCAGCCATATGGTCAGATGCTCTAGAATCTATTATCCATGAATTTTCTGTATAACCTGTAGCTGAGGCATGGCGAGTTGAGGCTTGATTACCTGAATGAGAAAAAGATGAGGCTGAATTACCAACTTCATTTTCCAGCTGAATTAGAGCAGCTTGGACAACAGCTAGAGTGTCTAGAGGATTGCCTCTTGTGCTAGATGAAGTTGTACTATCAGTGTTAACAGCCATATTTGCATTCCCCTTTTTGTTTATGAGTTTTGCTGGAACTAGATGTGGATGCAACTTCCAACAGGTMTCTTTAGTATGTTTAGGTTTCTTGCAATGCTCACATACTAGGTCCTTCTTAGCTTCATTGTTCATGTCTCTCTCCTTATCAACCCCAAATTTGGGCTTAATTGCTGCTAGAGTTGATTCAAAAGGTTGTTGTTGTAGCATAACTTTTCTCCTAGTCTCTTCGTTGTGCACTAAAGAATAGGCTTGGGACAGAGTTACACTGTCTCTTGTCAACAATTACTGCCTCACAATATCATATTCTGAATTTAGACCAGCTAGAAACTTAATCACATTAGTTTTAATCTGTGCATCCTTCTGACTTTCCCATTCAAATGATTCAAGGTGGCCAATTTCATGCCACAGGGATTTCAAGATTGAAAAATAAACAGAAACTTGTTTCTCACCTTGCTTGAGATTTTTAACCTCACACTTCAGCTCATAAGCCCTAGCAACATTAAGGGGCTGGGAGTAGGTTTCTTTCACCACATCCCATATTTCTTTAGTTGTTTTTGCCCATAAGTAATTTCGGCTGATGTATGGCTGCATGGAATTGCACAACCATGTCATCACCAAATAATTTTCCTGAGTCCACTTAGCATAAGTGGGATCCTCCTTATTTGGTTCATTCACATCTCCCAACAAATAGTTCAGCTTTCCTCTTCCCCCAATGGCCATCATGGCTGATTGAGCCCACTCTAAGTAGTTTGAACCATCAAACTTTACAGTTGTAATATGGAAGGTGTTTTCAGTCATGCTACCTGAACCAGTCCCAAAAACACCCTCCCCTTGGTGCTTGAACTCCATTCTTGATTAGGGGTTAAGTGAAAACACCTTCTATTTACTGTAATAATCAGCATACTGGGTCTGAAAACTAACGGCAGTAGGTCTAGAAGCAGAAATCGGATTTAGAGAAAGAAAAAATTTTCAATTCACTGTATCATTGTATCAATCAGCCTACTAAATCTGAGAACTAATAGTAGTTGGCCTAGGTACAGAACTCCAAAAGCAGAGATCAGAGAACAGAAATCTGATAGCAGCCAAACTTAAAAACAAGTCTAATCTCTTATCCGAACACAATAACAGTCTTGGATTTCAGGGTTTTCTCTTAAAACCCTAAAAGAGAAAAAGAAAAAAAAATCTATATAGATGTATCTCACAAATTAAGCTATCCTTGCTGCTACCCTCAAGAAGGAATAAGACCTTACCCAAGAATTTTTGAAAAAACTTGATCTTGATTCAAAAATCTTCCTGAAATTCTGATTGCCAACTTCAGTTTGCTCAAAACTGATCTTGATTCTGATCAACCCGAGAAACTTTCTGAAACATAATTGATCGCGGAGAAAAATCTTCTTGGTCGCCATCTTCAGTCTTGATGAGAGAACCAAAAAATCTGATTGGCACCTCCAGTCATGATCAAAGACCTAACTTTTATCACTTAATTCTTCCTGATTACAAGGAGCACTTTCCAATCCTTGGATAGTTGCTGAAGACTTCTTGTAATCTCCAAGAATCAGTCGAATGAAAAAAACTCAGCCCTAAATAATTCTCATGTGGTCGGCTGAATTAATTCCACATGAGAAACCCTAGATCAAAAGCTCTAATACCAAGTAGTCGCTCAAGATTGAACAAACACTTAAAAGGAGAAAAAAAATAAGAAAAGAAGAGGGAGAGGGAGAGGGAGAGGGAGAGGGAGAGAGAGAGAGAGAGAGAGAGAGAGAGAGAGCTTGGGAGAGATTTTGATAAAAGAGAGTTGGGTTGTTTGAAACAGCCGCCCCCCTCTTAAATTTATATACATAGTATCATACTTGTAAAAGGACTGAATTGCTTACATGGAAAAATAAGATAAGATAAGATACAACTAAAAAAAAACTAATCCTAATCTTATAAAAGACTAGTCCTAATCTTATAAAAGAACTAATCTTCCTAATCATAACTTATTGCTGACATACGAGCAGTGGAGACCACCTTAGTGGGGTCCACATTAGTGTTCTCTACACCTTACTTGTGTGGCGAAACAAGAAAACAATATTCAACTTAGGGAATACATTGTGGTAGTAGAAGACAATATTAGTCTTATAAGTAGGTTAGATTTCATTTCTACAATCTTGAAATGGTGTTGCACATTCCAACTACCATGAAAACACTTCATTATTATAATCACTTTGTTATTTTCAACCTACAATATGGTGACAATTAAAATAGACCATACTCAAGAACTCAAGGAATATCTTTGTTTGGGCGGGCAGATGGGGAGATGAATAGAGTTAAAAATGAATACAAGGATGGAGCCTTGGAATAGACACCTCCAAAGACCACAAGAAACTCACCAATCTGATTGTGAAATGGTAAATTAGGACTACATGTTTAGAAGTTCCACTAAACACGAGATAAATATGATGGAGACACATAATCACAGTTAATACAAATCATATTTTACCTTTTAGAAGGGGAAAAACAACTAGAACCTACATATTAGAAGACCCCTAAGAAATGTTAAAATTAATGAAATTCCCAACTTGATCCACACCCTTATGGAAGTCACCCCCCCCTCTCTTAACCACCACATTTGGATCTTTCACCCAGCTGGCAAGTTCTCAACTAAATCCTAAGGCCCTAACTGCTGAAGAGCTGAGTACTCTTCAATTTCCTTACAAAAAGATTTGGGTTTCCCACATTCCACCCAGAATATTCTTTTTTTTTTGTAGGAATCATGCTTTTTTAGAAACTATTACTTATATTGCCAAACTGTCAAAAATTACTTTTGCAAAGCTATCTACTATTACATTTAGTTCCCTAGGAACCCCAACAAATTTGCAATCACTAGAGATAAGAAGTTTTTCCTAGCAACTTGGTTGTATTTGTTGAATCACCTCACATGGTTAGGACTAAGGTGCCCAAGTATCTAGCTATGTCAATCCCAATGACCACTGCCATCACCTCAACTTTTATGGAGCTAACTATCTTAATCGGTCCACAAAATGCCCAGTAAATATTGCCCTCCCTAATCCCCATTACTCGTATTGCTGCTACTCCAATGTTACATGCATCACTTTCACAAAAGTTTAATTTCAGCACACACTCCAATCTAGAGGAGATGTCTCAGGAGCAAATATTACTAACAAGGGAAGTAGAACAATATATACATTTCTATGTTGTTCATTCAAAAGAATAAATTCCTTTGAAAGTCTCAGAATTAATAGCTCACAAATTACATTGGTGAAAATTATGGGAAGTTAAGTCTTTGAGAGATTTACCCTTATTTTCAAATATGTGGCTATTGCTTTCCTCCCATTCCCTCCACATCACCACATGAGCTATTATTGTTGTCCAATAGACTTTTCCTCTGCTACCAAGGCCTTAGGCCTCTCCCTTGCCATTGCGAAAGAAAGTCAACAATATGTTTAAGGGAAGCCCAACCACAACCAATCAAGTTTAAGAAATGATACCAAACTTTCCTAGTTTCTGAGCAATGAAAGAGAAGATGCCCAGCTGATTCCCCATCCTGGAGATACAGAATGCAAGTATGAAGAGAATACACACTTGTGACTTTATGCAAAAGAAGAACAAAGGCAAATTATTTCTTTCTCCATAGACTTGTAGTGTATGTCTTAGTGATGGGGAACCTATAGATCACCTCCTCCATTGTCACAAAACTAGGAAAAATTTGCACAATTTCCTTAACCTAATTGGGTATAGTTGGGTTATTCCTGAGATGATTGCAAACTTCTTGTGATAATAACAAGGTAAAGGGCTTAGCAAAAGAGGTAATACCTTTTGGCAAACAGTTAGTCATGTTTTGTAATATGATTAGTGTGGGAAGAAAGAAATACCGGGTATTTGAAAATATGGCCATATCTTAGTAGGATTTGATTTCTCACATTACTCACAAGTGCTTTTTGTGCGTTACCAACTCAGAGTCTTTTGAGGTAATCTCAGTAAGTAAGTTGCATAGAAATGTGGTGAACTTGGTATTTCTCCTCTACTATGTTGCTGACTCTCCCTTGGGTTTGTTGGAATTGAAGGACAATAATAAGAAATTGGGATGGTAGCATCTGTTTGGCTTTTAGTGGACCAACTGGGATTTCCAACTTTAGAAAGACTGAAATCCTGCTTGCTCTCACTAGTAAACGTATTGCTAGAGATTTGGGCATCTTAGGTCTAAGCATTAGAGGAGACACTATAAACACTATCGAATAGATAGGTGAGGAAGAGGGTAACCCTTGGAGACTACCATATTATCATATTGAAGCCAGGGATATTCTGAATTCTATCGTTATAAACTTGTACTGGATTCCTAGGGAACAATACACAACTACAAATGGCCTTGCCAAATCTAGTTCTCATCTGGAGTTTCTTCATAGTGATAGATCTCTTCCTATGTAGCTTTGTGGTTGTTTATTTATGTTTACCCACTGCACATCATCTCATGTACTTCTATTAAGAAAATACAGTTAACTTCCTTATATATGTATATATATATATATATATATAGACACACACTGTTCTTGAGCTTAGGATTGAAATCCTGAATCAACTACCTAAATTGTACCTTTACTTGTGTGGCAGAACAAGAAAACAATATTCAACTTATAGAGTACATTGTGGTAGTACAAGGCAAGATTAGTCTTATAAGTAGGTTAGATGTATATCTTTAGTTCATTTCTATAATCTAGAAATGGTGCTACACATTCCAACAGAGATGAAAACATTGCATTACTATAATCACTCTGTTATTTTTGACATACAATATGGTGATAATTAAAATAGATCAAACACAAGGAATGTCTTAGTTCGGCGAGGGGGTTGATGGGGAGATTAGTAGAGTTAAAAATGAATAAAAGCATGGAGCCTTGGAATTGCCACATCCAAAGACCACAAGAAAATCACCAATCTGATTGTGAAAAGGTAAAATTTAGGACTACATGTAAAACACAAGATAAATATGATGGAGACAC